TTTTGAACACCTTTTATGATATCTTCCCATATTCTGATTTTGAATCGAACTCAGTTTGGACACTTTTACCTTTTGTTTTACAAATTTTGATCTTGATTCCTTAAACCAATGACACCATATGATACTTTCGTATAAGGTATTATTACTTGTAAATTTGCAAACTTGCCCTTATTATGGGTTGGGCAAATAGCTGTATTTCTATGAATCAATGTTTTAGAACTGATTCTTATATCACATCTTTTGTCTAAAGCTGTTTTAATTCGTGGTGCACTTTATTTATTCTTGTGTAGGTGAAAATGCTGGAAGCTCTTCAAGATATTGAGATTGCTTCAAGACTTGTAGGACTTGATAATGATAACGATTCCTTGGATGAGAAGTATGGAAAGCTGCAGTGTGAAATATCTCCAATTACTCGTGACTCTGAAGATTTCCGGCTGGTTGAGAAGTATCTCCAAGCTACTCATGCTCCCACACATAAGGTGGCTTTATCTGCTTTACATTTCCTTATTATCCTTCCCTTTCCCCTCATTTCTAGTAATTTTGATTTAATGTAGCTGCTCAAGTAAACATATTCTGCCGATGAATTAAATCTGAGATTCTTTTATTTTATCCATATTGAGTGGAAGAAAAGTATATCTGAAATTTGAAAATTCCTCAGGAATGGGCTCTTGAAGTGGAACAAGTGTTTTCTCTTGAACGCAAAGGGGAACTTGACAAATTTGCTCCCTTCAGAAAGAAATTGAAGAATAGAATGCTTTTATGGCACGGTAATTGAACTTCCAAACCATTCTAATGTTGAACGTAGTGAATCATATATTCTTTTCATTTCAAGTCAGGGGTATTAAAATATTAAATAGAACTGAGTAGAGAACCCAAGTGACAGCAGGATCTGAAGTTTTCTGTTCTCTTCAGGTTCACGGTTGACGAACTTTGTTGGTATACTTAGCCAAGGACTAAGGATTGCTCCTCCTGAAGCCCCAACTACTGGCTATATGGTCTTGCTTCCACCTTCCTGTTCTTTCTCTTTCTTGCACTCTATCTCATTCTATTTGTCCATTTCTCGACCCTAAATAGATGAAAAGCAAACATCGAATGTGCTGAGCTTACAGAATTTTCCTTGACATGCAGTTTGGCAAAGGAGTTTACTTTGCTGACATGGTCAGTAAGAGTGCTCAGTATTGTTTTACAAACCGTAAAAATCCTGTGGGCTTTATGCTACTCAGTGAAGTTGCATTGGGAGACATGCACGAGCTTAAAAAGGCTCAGGTGAGTCTATGCCATAGTTTACCTTTTTATATGGCTAATTCATTCTGATGATATGTTAGCAGCTTTCAACGTCTAGGCAGTTATTATGTCTAATGGTACTCGTTTTGTGTCTTTCTTGAATTTCAACTTCACGTAATTGGTGTGGTTGTTGCCTTGTCTAGTACATGGACAAGCCCCCGAAAGGGAAGCACTCTACTAAAGGTCTGGGTAAGACAGTACCTCAAGAATCAGACTATGTGAAGTGGCGGGATGAAGTAGTTGTACCTTGTGGAAAACCAGTGCCATCAAAAGTCAAGGCATCGGAGCTTTTATATAATGAATATATTGTTTACGACATTGCCCAGGCAAGCATTCCAATATATTATACATAATTTATGTGTTTCTGTCAACTTAAGATCATACACACACACACACACGCTTTGATACACATTCAGGTACACACTTACAGACTCTGATTGCGTTATTCATACAGGTCAAGCTGCAGTTCTTAGTGAAGGTGAGGTTTCAGTACAAGTGATGAACCAAAATTCTGCATTATTAATGTTTCTTGGAGCTGTATATAATGGTGGAACCTATGTTGGATATTCTGCTCCTTAGTACTCTACCTTTTGAAATTGCCTGGCTGTTTGGCGCCGAATCGGTCAGATCTCATTTTGAGACTTCCTGGAGATCTGAGTTCTTCAATGAATGTGTAAATGGCTTTTGTATGATATGTGAAATCACTAATGTTTTTAATTTCGGCCCTATTTGGTAAAATATTAGCCTATCAGCTAATTTTGACTTATTTGACCACTATTAATTGTTTGATTTGGTTAAAAAATCAATTCCAAAATACTCAAATTCAAAAAGCTACTCAAAGTAGTTTTTTCAATTAATTTTTTGATAAAAGAAATTATATTAAATAGTTATTAGCTAACAGCTAATTTATCAAACACTTTCCTTCAATCAGTTAATGTTATCAACTAGTTATACCATCTAATTAACCCAATCAATTAACAGCTTTCATCTCTGTAGTACTTGCATGCACCCTAGTACGCATCCATCCACAATGTTAGTGCTCTTGAATAGGAGCTTATTACAAAATTTGATTTTGAGAAAAAACACAATTGTTATTTGAAAGTGCGCTGTAGTTGAAGCTCGCCTTGTAATCCTAATTAGTAAAGAAGAATTTCAGTTGAAGATTGCCTTGTGATCTTAGCGAGTAAATGATCAAAAGGAGGTAAACTAGCTGCTAACAGTTGTTTTCTTAAGGAGTTGAATTTGCTATCTGATCAACTTGATAGGGTTTCCAGTTTATTAGTTTTTACAATATGAACATTATTGGTAAGGTGAGTGTAGCTTTGAGCACAAGTTGAACGTTGGGGTACTAGGTGTAGGTGTAGATACATCTTGCAATTTGTATTGATGCAATCCATAAACGTGTGATATTTGGATAAGTTATAGAGTAAGATAAGGCATATTGTGGGGGATGGGCAATGCTATATATTAGCAGAAACAGCCATTTTCCATGGTTTAAGGTGATGAAAAATTTGGTTCCCCATTTTGACCAGAAACATGTGTGCTGTGGAGAGGAGAAGATATGATCTCTTCATCATCATCATTATCATCTATCTCTCCTCCCCCACGTGCACCAGGGGTTCATAATTGTATATCTCTGTGCTGGCGTGAGCATGTCGGCTTTCTTTATTGTGCCCACACATCAACATATCCCTGTATTTAGTCATTGTGGTGGAGACTGGAGACGTTGTTGCAATTATATATGTATTCACTATGATTTTACAAAGCATTATGAATTGCAAAATGAATAGTATTGTCATCAATGTAACTTTTATAATATCGCGTGCAATGAAATTCTACTACGTTTTTTTTATCAGAAATATAAAAGTCATGTTTGAAAACATAGTTAGCTTTTCAGTCAATTTTAACTTATTTGATTACTTTAATTGTTTTACTTGGTTAAACAATCAATATGAGTGTTTGATTAATTAACTTTTTGTAACAACTTATTGCTCTAAAATACTGCTTAAAGCTGTTTTTTTGATCAGTTTTTTGAAAAAGTTATATTTTACATGTAATCGGTTATTAGCTAATAGTTACACTTTTCTATAATCAACTAATGTTATGAACTAGTTAAACACATTAATTCAGTCAGGTAACAACTATTTACTAAACACCTCAAAAGAGAAAAATTCCACCGTTAATCTTGCAAAATGACTGTTTGTATAGGTGTTTGTTAGTCGAGAAGCTGGTTTTGACTTTCTTTTTACTCCTCCCAAAAAAATGGTGGCCTTAATTTTCAAGATGTTTGAAACATGAAATTGTTTCCAAAGCACGAGGGGAGTAGCAAAATTTCTTCACCAAGATTAAAAGTCAAAACCATCACAAACCCACATACACAAATGGCGGCCTATCCGTTTATGTTTAAATGATGCTCTAAAGAAAAAAACTTAATGTGCTAACTGACTATACAAGTGGTAGATTGACTCTTCGGTGGCATTGAACCAATGGGTCACTGTGGAAGTTTGGTTAGATGGAGCAAAGAATGGCTAGAAAAGGATTGGACAGTTACTGTCATCTACACACCTCGTGGAGAGTAATGATGTTACGGATTAACTTGTTAAGGTGGTGTCGAGAAGACAATGCGATTGGATCGAGTTTCATACCCCCAGATGGTATTTGAGACATCCTGATGAAAAAGGAGAGTGAGCTCATGGCTACTACTGTTAGTAGCGCTTAGATTAGCTGGTAGTCGTCTCATCTCCTAAAAAAATGATGTTCTAAAGAACATGAAAAATGATATATGAACTCTTTAAGGGTAAAATTCTTATTAGCTAGGTAGTCAATGCACACACTCTCGAATAGTGACTACAAATTTTCTTCGCCATTTAAAAAAATAAAAAATTGTTGATTTCCCTCGTTATCTAGGTAGTCATTTATTGTCACACATCGACCTCCATTTAGTAAAGCACTTAAGTCAAGCCGTTAATTTTACTACTTCAGCTAGTTCAAGAGTAAAGATTTGATCCTAATTTAAAATTATTTTACAATTTTTATTGGATCGATGTGGAATGGTATGAATAACCCTTAAAGAAGAGATTATGTAGGTGTTGTGTTACTCAAGGAACACAATAACACTCTGTAATTGGATCATTTTCAATTCCGCGTTAAGTTGTTTATAAATCCTTAAAAAAGTCAAACTAAGTTGTCGGCAAAGAAGAGTAAAGAATCATGTCCTCATGTCCACGTGCCGCCGGCGATTGGATAAAAAAACACAACCACCACTTCTCTCGTGCGGCGTTCGGCGGAGATATTATTTCATAATACATACCCAAATAAATTATACAAAACCATTAATAAACCAAAGAAGAAAAGAAAAAAAAACCCTTCCAAAAGTCATCAAATTGGCATTCGGATAAAATTAAAGCAAATCCTTTCTAATCTCGGGTGTGATTGAGTGGAAGAGATTCATTCATTCTTAATCAAAGATTAAGAATTCAATCCTTGACTTTGAGTATAGAACAGTCATAAATATCCAGATCAACTGTGTCACTAAAAAAAAGATGTCTACAATTCAGCGATTGATCATGAAAATTCTGGGTACACAAAAAAAAAAAAAAAAAAAGCAAACCCTTTCTTAGACTAACTAAGAAAATTGTAAAGAAATGTCCCCTTAGAACCCTACATGCAGACCTTCCATGTCCCCAAAGAACCACCGTTATAAGTGTTCCGCCACCACCATTTCCTCCCACGCCCACGGCTGCCTTATTTAGCCCCACCTTCACTTCACTCTTCCAAAACCTTTTTTGTTCAAAACCCACTCTTTTTTTGTACCCAAATTTTGTTTCTTTTTACCTATATATATGGCTGCCGCCGGGTCTCCATGCGGTGCGTGCAAGTTCCTCCGGCGAAAGTGCGCCGCCGACTGCATATTCGCGCCGTATTTTTGCTCCGACCAAGGCCCGGCCAGATTCGCCGCCATCCATAAGGTGTTTGGCGCCAGTAACGTGTCCAAAATGTTAATGCAAGTTTCGGTTCATGAACGGTGCGATGCGGTTGTCACCATTGATTATGAAGCTCGAGCCAGGATCAAAGATCCTGTCTATGGCTGCGTCGCCCATATCTTTGCCTTGCAACAACAGGTAACTAATTAATAATTATTCAAAATCACAAATCAGTAACGTAACTTGCTCTGATACCAAATGTAACGAGTTATAGGTTATAATTAAGCATGGTAACAATTTGCACCCGGTATAACTCAAAATACATGTTTAGTTGTATCTGTGTTGTGGGACAAGTTCAGTATCAGGTGCAAACTAACGGTTTCGTTTGTACCTAAGTTTTTTTTTAAAACAAATTTTAAGGTATTTATTGGTATCATGGTGATTTATTACACTAGGTACAACTCGAAATACATGTCTAATTGTATAAGTATTTTGGGACAATTAAGTTCATGCAGTAACAGGTGCAATTTAACTTTTGAATAATTGTACATGTACTCTCATTTTTTACATACTCTAGTCCGTGATGTGGCATGTTTTGATTGCTTAATATAAAGAAGGTTAGGATTATTTTTATCCATTTTTTTCTTCAAATAAAATTTGGAGTAAAAGTTGGGATCCGAGTAGGGTTTTAGAGTCTAAGTAGTATATTTGTTAACTTTTTTGGTTCTACTTGTACTTAGGTTTTCTTTAAAAAAAAACAGAAATTTTAAGGTGTTTATTAGTATTATGCTAATTTGCACTTGGTACAACTCAAAATACATGTCTTTTTTTTTTTTTTTTTCTTTTGGAAGTGAATACATGTCTAGTTAGTTGTACCTACATGTATTATAGTACAAGTACCTACAACAAAAGGTGTATATATATTTGTATTATGTCGATACCAATATATATAAGATACTGATTGACACCATACAAATTTTTAAAAAAATTTTAAGGTGTATATGTATTGGTATTATGTCGATTTATACAAGATAAAATTCAAAAATTCATTCATGTTTGTAACGAGTATTATAAGGATAATAACTCCAATTCAAAATGCATGATTGATTGAGAATATATATATTTTTGGTGAAACGTCATAACATATATGTGTGGTTACAATTTTGTAATTAAGGTGGTGAGTTTACAAGCTCAGCTGATGCAAGTGAAGGCTCAACTAGCTCAAACTTTGATGACCAGCAACACAAGTGCCGCCGGAAACCACCAGTCGTGGCCGAGTTACACGGCGGCTGGCGGCGGCGCAGGGGGTTTTCCGGCGTCCGTGAACTCGGCAGGGTCGCCGCAGAGCTCCATGGATTCGTTGGAGGGTTATTACAGTGAAGGGGTAGGGTTAGTGAAGCAAGAAATGGCGGCGGCGATGCTGCAAAACTGCAGGGATAATGAAGATTACTGTTGTTATTATGGTGGTAATAATAATATTAATGGCAGTAGGAAGAGAGTTTCACAGACTGATTTGGGTGAGCTTCAAGCTTTGGCTCTTAGGATGATGAGAAATTGAGAGACATAATAATGGGTTTAATTTGGGGTATACTTTAATTTGATGGATGGTAATTAACTTACACTTTTCTATTTAGATAATAAATTTGATTGCTTCCAAAACTTTAATTTTCAATCTATATTTAGCAAGAGGATTAGTCTTACTATTTGATTCTAGTTCGGGTTAAGAAAATTTATAGTCAAACAAAAGAGTTAAAAAAGTTTTAAATCACGTCAAGAAGTGATTATGAATTATAGCTAAGTTGTCAGTACAGACTTAGCTCACTGAATTAGTAGGTAATATTTGAGAGTGTGAGAATTATGCTCAAAGTAGAAATTTCGATAGCGACACAGTAGGAATTATGCCCAAAGTGGGACCCGAAATGACCAGATGCTTTGTGCACACCAATATATGATTTATGTCCTCCCAAAATGCTCTATGTTTGAAAAATCTGATTATTTTGGACATAATTCTCATACTGTCGCCGTCTAATATAAATTTAAACCTTGGTCTTTTATTTTTCAAATATTACTTACTGAACCATGGAATTCCTAATTACTTAATATAAGTCTGTACAGTGCAGAAAAAAAATGAATTCCTAATTGCTTAAGTTGCATGCACGCACATAGACACATCGATTTGAGTGTTCTACTTTAAGCCGACTATGGGTTGGAAAACACAAAATGCTTCCACACGTTCTTTGTAAAGTTAATCAAAGGATAGATTGCCTACTCAAAAGTACTCATCATGTAAATATATACATAATTTCCACTGCCTTTTATTTTGTGTGTGTATAGTATAATATTTTATAGAGTAAATATCTAAAATGGTCCCTCGACTATAGCTAAATTCACAAATTGATTCTCGACTTTCAATTTCAACCAATTAAGTCTTTAACTTTGTAATTTTAACACAATTTGATCCTCTGTCTATTTGACCGTTTGTTGACTGTGATTTTTGAGGATATATATGTAATTCCATGGTCCATCGTCGATTTTTTAAGGTTCTGGTTGCATTTCAGACCGCACTGTTACATTTGAATCCAGTGACGAAAGCAATCTACCAAATCCGGTCGCCTTTCTTCATCCTCCCTTTGGATTCAATGTAGTTGAGTTCGTACCAGAACGAAGAAGACGACGTTTTTCCGAACCAGTGCAACGTCATCCTGGAGGCCTCCACATGCTCCAACGAGAGCTGAAGGTTCTTCTGGAGATCGTCGATCACGGTCAACAAACGGTCAAATAGATGGATGACCAAATCGTGTCAAAATTACAAAGTTAAGGACTTAATTGGTTGAAATTGAAAGTCGAGGATCAATTTGTGAATTTAGCTATAGTCGATGGACCATTTTGAGTATTTACTCTATTTTATATGATCATATAAATTGAAGTGGGAAATTTTTATTTAAATTTTTAAAAAAAAAAGAAAAGAAATTTGGTCCATATATATTTTAAAAATTTTTATACTTTAGACGGACTCAATATCTACTATACTAATAAGAGCCCAAGAGAGTTAGGCCTATAATGGGTAGAAAAAATGGCGGTCACAGATTTTAATCAAATGAATGGCTCAGATTGATTAAAAGATTGATAAGATTTAAATTTTACACTAAAATTTCCTAAAATACCCACATACCGTTACTAATTCCGTTAAAATTTTAAGAATTGCCGTTAGTTTTAACTTACTCATTGATTTCAATAAAAAAAAAAGGTCTTAGGTTCGAACCTCATCCCAATCAAAGTTGGCATAATTAGTACTCTATTTTACTCTTATTAAATTATATAAATAATAATTTAGTAGCTACAACAAAAAATTATAGATATGCATTTATTTAATTTAGAATTATGTGTCCACAATGCCTTTATTCAAAAAAAAATTATTCATTATCAATAAATTAAATAAGAGAAATAATTGTATTAGTTACACTGTCTTTATTTTTCTACAATATAAAAATTCTTTATATTCAAATTTATTAATTGATTATATTCGCTACATTGTCCTTACAATGTCTTAATTCAGTGAAAAAAAATTATTCATTATCAATAAATTAATTAAGAGAAATATTTTCATTAGTTATATTGTCTTTATTTTTCTCAAATGTAAAAATTTTTACATTCAAATTCATCAATTGATTATATTCACTACATTGTCTATTATCTTTTTTTTTTGCACTATTTTTCTAATTAAATATCAAAGTTATAATACAAAATAATGCTATATATTTATTTACCAAGTATTTTATTAATACCATGAAAAAATTAAAAAAAATATATAATTAATAAAGTCAACCATATTAACTACTTGAGAGATTTTGTGACAAAGAGAGTATTCAAATCACACAACAAATTGAAGTGAGAACTACCTTGCAATGTCCTTGTTTGACAATCAGCAGTTAGCGAGCGGATTATATTAGTGAATTTGACCAACGAATTTATTTAATTATTAACATTGGGTAGAAAAAATAACCGCCAAATTATTAAATCAAATGAATGGTTCAAATTGTTCAGGTTTTAATTTTTTTTTAAATTTTTCTAATTTATCCTTAATTATATGATTATCCATTTAACTTTTTCGTTAAATACCGTTAATTCGCCGTTAGTCTAATTATAAATTTAACGTCTAATATAGAATTATAATTACACCATTAATCTAATTCTAATATTAAAGTCTTAATAGAACTTAACCACAAATCCTAATGTCGAAATCTCCTCAAACAATATTAGTATATATTTAATATTTTATGCCCTAATTTTTATTTGTTCTCCCTTATGTCCCGTATTTGGTTTCAATCATACTTATACAATTATTTTATTGACAATTAATTATAATCAATCTTGACTATATTATCTTGCATTTGTAAACTTAGAATTACCTATTTAACCCGCACGGGCTTAGCTCAATGGTTTAGTGGGCAGTATTTGGGAGAAGAGATCAAGGTTTGAACCTCGGCGGCGGCAGTGCGGGAATTATGTCCAAAGTGGGCAGATTCCTTGTTCGCACCGGCATTTGGTCCTGTCTGCTGAACCATTGAGTCACCGTGATTTACAACTTCCTACAATGCTCTGTCTGGTCAGAGTGTGGGGGGCCCTTGGGGTAGGGGACTCAACCTTTGGGAGAAGAATTACCTATTTAAATACGCAAATTCAACCTTCAATTATCTATGCATGAACACTCAATATAATCTTGCCTTAAAATACTTTAAAGTACTTAGTTAAAAAAAAACATTGGGCATTATCCCAATCGCGCAATGCGCGTAAAAAACTAGTACCTTTTATATCAAATATACTTATACATGGTATACTTAATTAGTTGTATCGGGTATTGTGAGTATGAGTGTTAACATCCATACCTAGTACAGTTCAAATAAAATATATACATAATTATACTTGATATAAACGGCGTACACCAGCACCAATACGTTAAAAGTTTTCAAAGATTGCCCCGAAAGGAGCAGTCGAGTTGAGTAAGTGGAACATGATTATAGTATAGAATGTCAAGAGTTTAATTTTTGCTAACACAATCTCAGTTGATTCCGTCACACATGGTCTTTTTAGTATGATTAGGTTCACAACTCCAATGTAGTTATGATCTATTATCTGACTCTCACATTTTGGTAGTGGTTACGTACGGCCTACGGTCAAAAAAATAATAATAACAATAAATAATCAAAGATTATATTATACACTACTTATACACTATACGACAAAGTGCTACTGGTGCATGTACACTCAACCAAAAAGAGTGATTTATTATTCTCGTGCAATTGTTAAAGAATATAATAAATAAATAGATGGAGAAGTATATATATATATATATATATATATATATATATATATATATATATATATATATATATATATATATATATATATATATATAACAGGGCACCCATCAGCTGTCATTTATAATTAATTAGTTTTTTTTTTTTTTGGGTATACTATAATTAATTAGTTTGATATAACAAAATTATAGTATTATAAGCAAATATTGGAGAAATTTTGGTAAACACACACACATACATATATATAGGTCATAATCAGGTGTGAACTGATTTTATGCAAATCTACAAACTACCACCACACTTACTATATAATTGCACCGCACTAGATACGATTGCACTGCAAAGATTCTCCAAGTATGTCCAGGAGACGTTGCGGTGCAATCACGTAATAGTTGCGGTGCAATCTTTTAGTAGTTCGCATTTTCACAAATTAAGGGTGGTTCGCACCTGATTATGATTATATATATATATATATATATATATATATATATATATATATAATTAAGATTTAATTAATGATGTTTAATTAATTACTTAGCTTGTCTGAATAGACATAAAATTGGTTGTGTAGATGAGAAGAACTGGAGCAAGAAATGAAACATCATTGGTGTTGAAAATGAAGGACAAGCATCCATCTCATCATGAGAATTGAAGCATCCAATATTAAGGACCCACCACCCCTTGACACTTTACCTAATGCTAATTCTTGTCTGCTGTTTATATATATAATGTGTTTTTTATTTAATAATAAATGATAAGATTAATAATATGTTAGCCAACCACCTTGTGTTTAGATGACATGTAGTGACCTCTCTTCTGTGGGAGGTCATGAGATCAAGCCTCAGTGAACAGATACTACAATCTAATAGAGGCGTTGATCTTAAATCAAGTCGGAAGTCTTGTTCTGACCACTTTTGATATCCGGAAAAACCTTTGTTGCTATTTTTGACCACTTTTTACTTTCGACTTGATTTAAGATCACTTTCAGGTGGTCGTAAATTCCATAATTTCCAGTAGTGTGTGTTTGAACAGATACAACAATATAATAGAGTCAGTAACATTAAAAAAAAAAAAAGTTCTTATCAGTATACCAAAAGTTATAATAAGTAGGAATGTTCAATTATATATATATATATATATATATATATATATATATATATATATATATATATATATATATTAATTTGAGTAACAATCACTCTCACGTTTTGGTGACATGATGCTGAACTCTAAGACTTCGTCCAACAATATCACATTGTAAATTTATTTATCTTATTTTAATAATTCAATATGATTACATTTAATTATTATTCATTTGCTATTTTGAAAACCTTTACCTTA